ATCTGCCTATCTGTATATGAAGCTACTCTGGAAAATACTACAGAAACATCTAGAGTGCATGACAAAGAAATGCAAAAGATGTTCAATTTTGGCACACATGAGGTGACAACTAATTTAAAAAGTGTAGTGAACAGCATTGTTGTGAGGTTAAAAAACCAACCAGGCCACCCAGAGTCAGAAAAATATCAAACTATTATTGACCAGTGCTGGCTGGCTTGCACATTTCATGAAGTAAAGCATGACAGATATTAATCTTAAAGCTGAGACAAGTTCTGTTTATCAATAGGCTACAGAAGAATTTTTGAAAGTGTGCTCTGTGTTCAGGAAAATAAGTATATGGAAGAGCAGGTGTTTAACACTGCTGAGACTGGTTTAATGCAACAATATTGGTATATGGCTTCCCGGATGGCACTAGTGGTAAAGAATTCACCTGCCAATGCAAGAGATACAAGAGATGTGGGTTCAATCCCTGGGTTGGGAAGATTCCCCTGGAGAAGGAAGAGATAACCCACTCCAGTATTTTTGCCTGCAAAATTCCAAGGACAGAGGAACCTGGTAGGCTGCAGTCCATGGAGTTGCAAAGAGTACTGAACACACACACATTTATTGGTACATGAACATATATAACAAAAAGAGACCCCCTTAAGCTCCTAGTTTTAATCAGTTAAAGATCATGCCATAAAGCATTAGTGAGAACTATGTATTAAATGCGATATTGTTAAGCAGAAACACACATAAAACAAGGTTGCATATTGATCAATTGACAAAAATGTTGTGATGAGGGAGGAAAGGAACAGGCTGAGCTGACTCCATCTTGAAAAAGAAGGAAATGCCATCTTGCACTTTCAGTGAGCATTGGACTATGTACCTGGTAGCCATGGGGATAATATACCTATGGCTGAACTGGTCTCCCGGACTGATCAACACCAGATTCCATACCAAGATTTCCCATCGTCAAAAAGAATGCAATAATCCCCTATGTAGTCAATCACCTTTGTAATCTTTATGGCTCCCACTGGTGTAGGCTACAATGTATAACCAGTGTATTAACCATACTCTGACTATGAATCATGGCTGTAACCTGATTGTGTCTCCCTTTAACACTTTCCAGCCTAGGTTTAAGGAATTTGGAGATGTGGGCTCGAGCAGTACACTTAAGGTATATAACGTTTTCACAATAGTCGGATGGGGTCCTTGGCTAAGAGGAGACTCTGCCTTGGGCCCACCGGTGTAACAAACTTCACTCCACTATCTGAATTGTCCTTCTGAGTGAGTTTGTTTCCTGGAACGCGTGGCTACAACAGTGACAAGAAGCTTGTAGGAACCTAGATCTGCCTTTCCTGTAGGAATATTTTCCTACATTTTAATTCAGTGTCTGTGGTGACTTTATGGAAAATAACTAATGAGAATAATGAGAAAGGACTCTGCCTGTGCATGAATACATATCATATGTATAGGTACACTGCCCTCCCCCTTTCCCCCCCAACACACTCATCTGGAGTTGGGCTCACTCTCTCATTCCCCCATAGGAGAACTCAGGCTGAGGAAATTTCTTGGTGCCAGTCTGAGGAAAGGTGAGTGATGTGGGTAAAGTGAAACATTTATTCTTATTCTTACTAATCTGTTTTGTCTTGTTTTTTGCTCCACCAGGGTCCTATAACCTCCCATATAGATTTTGGAACTCTTATTTTCATCCATTACTGGTTACTGAGCAGGTGTTCCTGTGAGGGAAGACTACAAGGACTTCCTATTCAGTCACCTTCCTAACGTAAAGCTGACATCTTTGGTTTCTTTTCCTTAGAAACCACAGCTTCCTAATGGAGCTCTCTCTCTCTCTCTTTTTTTTGACTCAAAACCAGATTAGAATCTTGAATCCTCAGAGATCTTTTTTGTGCTTTATACAACTGGCTCTGGGGAATTTCTACTGAAAGCTCCTCCAGGCAAACAGCAGTGTTCTCATAAAGACTAAGTGGTTTGAGACAAAACAGAGACAGGATTCCATCCTGGTGCTCTGTCAGGTGAGTCTTCTCTGTCTCCTAATTCACAGTGTATTCAGAGGACACAGTGATGGGCAAAAGAAAAGATGAGAGAAAGAAAGGAAGAGAAGAGACACAAGAAAATTTGAGGGAAAGAAGACTGAGACAGAGGCTGAGAGAAATGGATAAGATCCTATTTAGGAAGGAGCATGTAACCATAATATACACATTTGGATTTCAGCCTGAATCTATCCTGTGCATTTTAGAAAAATCACTCTCCTGACATCTGAAGAATGATGGATAGTACAGTATCTTTGAAGTAGGTGCAAAGTGTTCAACATCTATCTAAAACTAAAAATATATTTAGGGCTTTAACTTTATTCATTATTTTATAGATGAAAAATGCTTGTCACTTAGCTTTTCTTTGATTACACTGTAAATAAGTCATGAATCTGGGTTTCAGCACAATTAGTCTGAGGGTGGACTTCATACTTTCAAGTACTGTAAAGTACTGTGCTGTAATAAATCCAAGAAATGATAATGACTTAAACTAATTTCATTATGAATGAGACAAATGCACTGATTTTTAAGATACTGAAGAGGTAAAATTAGTTGTGCTTTTATATAATGTGTGAGAGAAGAGGATGCTATTCAGATATTTTTCTTTCTTTTTTAAATTTAGGAATAATTGACATATAATGTTATATTTGTTTCAAGTGTACAATATAACCTTCATCTTGTGAAATGATCACCACAATAATCTGATTAACATCCAACACCATAGATAGTTACAACCTGATTTCTGATCTAGGAATACCAAAAAAAAAAAAAAAAAATTAAGATTCTGTCACTAACTTATGGTAATGAATCACAGAAAAATTTGCTTCCATAATTGAATCCTACTGTCAATTATCTATATCACATATTTTAAGAGTATTCACTACTGCATTTCAAGGCCACAATATTATTGAAGAAATAGTTTATTCTTAAAGACATTTCACAGAATGCCTCCTACAAATAACATCTATTGCTTTCAGCTTCTCTTGTTTTCATGTTTGCCATTTCCTCCTAGGAGTTCCCTGCTTTCTCATACATATCATCAGGTCTAGATGATACCTGATTGTCTTAGTGAAACTGTTGTTATAATTTTTATTGCTCTTATGGCATTTTCAAATAATACAAAATGATGAAAAGATGCTTCTTACTACAAAACCACTATAAGTAATGAATGATCAAATTTTTAAAAATTCAGTTCAGTTCAGTCACTCAGTCGTGTCTGACTCTTTGCGACCCCGTGAATCACAGCACGCCAGACCTCCCTGTCCATCACCAACTCCAGGAGTCCACCCAAACTCATGTCCATTGAGTTGGTGATGCCATCCAACCATTTCATCCTCTGTCATTCCCTTCTCCTCCTGCCCCCAATCCCTCCTAGCATCAGGGTCTTCTCAAATGAGTCAGCTTTTCACATCAGGTGGCCAAAGTATTAGAGTTTCAGCTTCAGCATCAGTCCTTCCAATGAAGCCCCAGAACTGATCTCCTTTAGTATGGACTGGTTGGATGTCCTTGCAGTCCAAGGGGCCCTCAAGAGTCTTCTCCAACACCACAGTTCAAAAGCATCAATTCTTTGGTGCTCAGCTTTCTTTATATTTCAACTCTCACATCCATACATGACCACTGGAGAAACCATAGCCTTGACTAGATGGACTTTGTTGGCAAAGTAATGTCTCTGCTTTTTAATATTCTGTCTAGGTTGGTCATAACTTTCCTTCCAATGAGTAAGCATCTTTTAATTTCATGACTGAAATCACCATCTGCAGTGATTTTGGAACCCAGAAAAATAAAGTCAGCCACTATTTCCACTGCTTTTTAAAAAAAATACTCATCTAATAATTGCCATAAGTGAAGTACATGAAAATCTGTAAGAACAGCTTTGGTAATTTTGAAAAGGGTAGATTCAGTTTACTCAGAACAGGTGTCTATTTAGTTTTTTCTTCAGTATATTTGCCATGAATATTAAACTGTTACAACTATGATCTCCTTAGATTTATAATGAAGATGTGACATCTTATATTCAGATGGATGTGGGTTTAAAAGAGATGATGTTTCTGTGAATGTGTGTAAAGGAGAGGGAGCTATGCACATATGATATGAGTTAGGCATGTATTAGCTTTTCCTTATTTCCATTCTCTTTTCAATTTGCTATCTTCTCCTCTATTTTCTTTCTATAGCTCTGTAACTATAAGCATTACAAGTATTTGGCAAGTCTTTAAACTATATGAGGTTCAGATCCATATGTAAAGATGGGATTAATCTTCTCCTATTTGTGTTTATAAAGATTACAGATAATATTTGCACATGTTCTGCAGCACTGAAATTAGTAGGCAAGTACTTTAATAAATGGTAGTTGATGCTGCCATTTTAACTGCACTTTAGTATGTTTTAATAATAATGAATAAATATTAACACATATGTTTATCTGAATCCTTTAGATTTATTTTGAATCTTTTAGGTTGTATCTTAATGAATATGTGTTCATTAGCACTTATTACAAAAAATGTTTTAATACTTGTGTGTTACCATCTAATCAAATGAATCTACAGATAATTTTAGAGGCTGGCAAAGCCCCATGTATGTCAATATTGAAAATAAACTATGTTGATGATGATGAGAGAAGGTAGTTAATGAATTATTAAGGGAAAATTTTAGCATACCGGTGATAAAACTATCACAAATTAGCAGAGAAGAAAAGTGCTAACAAAATGAATACATTATGTAGAATTTGTTATGACAATCCACTGCAAAATCTCTAAAATTTTCTCAAGAATTTGCTTTTTCACACTGATGTTTATGTATTGATACTACATTTCTTATTGTGTGAATTAACAGAGGAAGAGAGTATACTAAATTGTATGGTATTCTTATTTTCCTTAGGTTTAAAACATTGCAGAGCTTTACTCAGTACTCTGAAGATTGGTAAACACACATTTGCAAGGAACATGGACTTATGCATTACCAGGCAGGATGTCCCTTCCCAATGAGACCCAGTTTCACCCCTCCTTCTTCTTGTTGCTGGGAATCCCAGGACTGGAAACTCTCCATATCTGGATTGGCTTCCCCTTCTGTGCTGTGTACCTCATTGCACTCATAGGGAACTTCACTATCCTGTTTGTGATCCAAGCTGAGAGCAGTCTACACCAGCCTATGTTCTACTTCATGGCCATGCTGGCTACCATTGACTTGGGTCTCTCCACAGCTACCATCCCTAAGATGCTTGGGATCTTCTGGTTTGGTCTCAAAGAGATCCTCTTTGGAGCATGCCTCACTCAGATGTTTTTCATCCACAACTTCACTGGTATGGAGTCAGCAGTCCTCTTGGCAATGGCTTATGACTGCTATGTAGCCATCTGCAACCCCCTCCGATATAGCACCATCCTCACCAACAGGGTTGTTTCTATGATTGGTGTTGGTGTTTTAGTGAGATCATTTATTTCTGTTATTCCATTTGTATTTCTCATTTTACAGCTGCCCTTCTGTGAGAATCAAGTCATCCCTCATACCTACTGTGAACACATGGGTCTCGCTCACCTATCTTGTGCCAGCATCAAGATCAATATCATCTATGGCTTAGGTGCTATTTCAATCCTAGTGTTTGATATCATAGCCATTGCCCTTTCTTATGTTCAGATACTCCGTGCTGTTTTTTGTCTTCCTTCTCGTGAAGCATGACTCAAGTCTCTCAGCACATGTGGTTCCCATGTTTGCGTAATTCTTGCCTTCTATACACCAGCTCTATTTTCCTTTATGACACATCGCTTTGGCCGAAATGTCCCCCGTTATATTCACATACTTTTGGCCAATCTCTATGTTATAGTGCCACCAATGCTCAACCCTGTCATATACGGAGTCAGAACCAAGCAGATCTATGACCGTGTGAAGAAAATGTTATTACAAAAATAAGGAATTAAAATGGAACAGTACCTAATATGTATGAGATGGAACTTTTGAGCAGGGAAACAATTTATTATATTAAATTATGTACATTTAAGTGTGATTGACAAAATATGTATTTTGGCTCCCTTGTGTAACTATTTAAATGAGTTCAGAGACTGAAAAATCTAAGCTTTGTTATCCAATTCAAATAGTAAGTGAAGGTCCATGACAGTCTTTATATATGAAATTTGATCACTGGTATCAGTAGTTCAAAGTAGAAATACAGAATGCACCATTTTTTTTTTGTACTGTATCATTCATGTGGATTTTTTTTGATGATTCTCACTCCCTCTTTATCTCCAAGTCTCCCTGTAACTGTTTCTCCCTTCTTACTTTGCAACCCTCTCTTGTTTCTCCTTCTTTTTCTCATTTTCTCTACCCTCAGAACTCAATCGTTTTTATTTTAAGGACTGAAATATGATATCCTATGATTTCATCATAAATATTATAAACATCCAAAATTGTGTCATAGATTAGGTACTAATTTTGCACATAAAATTGAACTAGGGAAATGAATGCCTATAAAAGCTTCATTATAAATGTTTGTGTAGATTTTGTCACAGATATATTTAGGTTTCATAAACCAAACTATGACATAAACGTAAATAAAGAAACCATCTACAGCCTAGACCGGTTGACTACATTCACATTCTTAGTTCTATATGTTCTCTAACTTATTTTTTTTCCATTTATTTTTATTAGTTGGAGGCTAATTACTTTACAACATTGCAGTGATTTTTGTCATACATTGAAATGAATTAGCCATGGATTTACTCTAACTTATTTTTAGACTAATTTTGTAGTTGCTGTTTCCTTTGTTCATTAACAGAACTTGTTTGGTCTTAGTTCTATCTTTAATATGCATATTTCAATGATCCTCAATTTCCTTATTTTATAAACATTGCCATAGTTTTATTTCCAAGTTAAGCATGAAGACTTAATTACATTGCATAATGTTTGTACAATAATCAATATAGTGCCTGCATGTTTTTTATAGTAAATAAAAATAATTATTAGCCATTAATATTATCATCAGACTTCCTTGGTGGCTCAGTGGTAAAGAATCCACCTGCCAATGCAGGAGATGTGGGTTTCATCCCTGAATTGAGAAAATCTCCGAGAGAAAGAAAATGGCAACCCACTCCAGTGTTCTTGCCTGGGAAATCCCATGGACAGTGGGACCTAACTGGCTACAGTCCATGAGGTTGCAAAAGAGATGGACATGATTAGGCAGTTAAACCACTACAACAGCAGTATCATCATTATCATTTGTGTTATCATATTTTGTTATTGATGCTCACCTTTGACAACAATGTTTCTATTAGAGATGTTTATGGGTTTTTATTTTAACATTAGCTTTATATAAAATACCCTGAAGCTGTAGTGACACAACTAAAGTACAATTAGTGTCAAATTTAATATATATTATCCACAAATTTAATTTATATTTTTTATATTTATGTTTAGCTTTACCTCTTAGTCTTTAAAATAGAAATTTGTAATTTGGAAATAATTACATAATTTATTTCTCTCTTTATCCATATATAATGTGAGGAAAGTTATCTCTCTACAATCGTCTGTCATTTCATTTATATCTGTTACTTTTAATCATATGTTCCTCTTTCTAATTTCTTGTATCCTAATTTCTTATATCATCTATTTGATGACTCTATCACTGAAGCACCTTTATCACCGGGCACTTTCAATCTTCCAGATCAGCTGATTTTATTTCATTTGTTATTGTTGTTGTTTAATCACTAAGTTGTGTCTGCCTTTTTATAACTTCATGGACAGTAGCCTGTCTGGCTCCTCTATCCATGGGATTTCCCAGACAAGAATACTGAAGTGGTTTGCCATTTCTTCTCCAGCTAATCTTCCTAACCCAGGGATTGAACCTGCATCTTCTGCATTGGTAGGCAGATTCTGTACCACTGAGTCACCAGAGAAGCCCTTTTACTTCAGAATTATCTGAAACATTTTAATTTTTTGCCTCTGATACTGCCATCTTACTGTTTCTAGCAATCAGCATGTGATATTTGTACTTTTGCTACATACTCTATGCCAAAAATCTCTCCCAGTTTCAGTTTTGCTGTTACATTTAATATTCTTCTTGGTCATCATTTTGTAGAGGTATGCCTAGTCCTTAATAAACTCCTCTGCAATCCAAATATACCGACTTATTTATAAAACTTACTGACTTGCCCTCCCTTCCCCAACAACTAAATCCTAGTATTACACCAATTTTCTGACACTTACATTTTAAAATCTACTACTCAAATAAAATCTTATTTCAGAAAAAGAAAAACACTGGTTTACATGGGAATGAATTTCTATATACTATAAAACTCAAGGGAAATTTTTCTTACATTATTTAAAGTAGAATAATGCTTACCTTTTTCATTTATTGTTCATTTATTCAGGCTTCTCTTACAACTTAATATGATATCTTGCAATGACTGCCTATCATCCCCTCTCCTCCCAGATCATATGAAATTTAATGCTACTTACCTATCTGTTAAGTGACTCACAATGTGACTCACAAGCTACTCAATTAATGTCTGCTGAATGAATCAATCTAAGAGAGAATAAAAGAACTCAGTGCTTATTTATCAGTAATAGCATAATACAAGAAAGTTAATGTCAAATATATGTATCAGTATAAGTTATTATGCCAGAAACTATTGAAACAAGCTGGGTAAAGGATACATCGTATTGAGAAGAAGAGTAACTGATTCAATTACGAAAGCAGGGAGCAAGTAAGTTGGCAAAGCTTTCCAATCCAATGAATTTATTCATGCAAAATGGAATATAAATTGACATATTATTTGTGACAAATAATAGCAACATTAGGTAATAATTGTCTTAAATATGTTTACAATTATCATCCTGGTTAGGATGTCTCATTATTACAAATAAAAAAGAATCATAGTATAAATTTACTTCAGAGTAATGAAATGTACTATTTTGTATAACAATAAGCTCAGTGAAGAACAGGATCAGCTGTCCAAAATGTAATCAAGGTTTCAGTTTCTATGTAGCTTTTTAGGAACTAAAAAAATTCTCTCCATAGGGATATTGAAGATTTCCTTTCATGATTGAATCCCCAGTTGTGTTCCTGAATTTTTCTATGATTAAATATTATATTTTTATCTTTATGCTCTCATTATGTTAAAAATACCTTTTGATTTATGACTTTGAAATGTTAGAATAACATATCTTTTCTTTCTTTGGTTCCCATTCATTTCATTTATCTAAATACATTCCTTTTAATTTTTATGTTTTTTTTTTTTTTTTATTATCTTTTACCCAGTAAGACTAGCACTGCTTGGGAAAAAAAAATTAAAGGCTTTGTCTTATAGGAAAATCATGATATGTCAATAAATTATTTATGAGTGCTAAGACATGGATGTGGGAAGGGAAGACACATGTACCAGTGATCGATGCCCTAAACTGCATTTTTATATTTAATAAAATTGTGATCCAAATTCAGCCAGTAAGAGCTTCTCTTCACTACATTCTGTTCACTTCATATGCATAGGTTTTGATGGTATTAGTTTTGTGTCTCCAACTTCCTAGTAACAATATATGCTTGCACTGGGGGAAAGGTGTGGACTAAAGACTATGTCTGCCTCCACATCAGTCCCTTTGCCCCAGGTACAGATAATGGAATTTTCCTCAGGAGACTCTGAGTTGTTAATCTTGATTCCCATAGGGGATTTGAGTTGGCTTTGCTTTCAGACATGACCCCAAAGATCCTAAGTACAGGTAGTATAAAACTATATTCTCTTTCGTAGGTGTATTGGAGTTCTCTAGCCCTATTCCTCCTGAAGGTAAGTTTCCTCTGAAATGTGTGATGGAGATGGATAGTCATGAGAGACTACAGTTCAACAGTGAAGGAATGAGCTACAGTTGAATTTATTAAGCTCTATATCACCATTGTAGAAAGATTTTCTGACAGAAAGAGTTTTTCACTGGGTCATGCTGATTAAATTTTTAAATAATCACCTATAAAGGGAACTTAAATTATGCTATAAATGATGAGCTCTACTGCCAGGGATAATTGTGTATTTGGGCAATGTGTGCATTATAATAATTTAAAAATAAGATCATTATAGATCCAGAGTTAAGTGCTAGTTTATAAAGCTTATTACCAAGAGGGAAGCAGAGAAGTAAGAAATCTGAAGATGGAGATTAAATACAGTCTAAAAGGATTTACTGGCTGGGGATTCTCTATTTTAATCATAACACTATTAATATACTTCCCAAAATTTAGACTTTTGTCTCTCACTTTAATCAAGAGTTGATTAACCCGAGGCTCCTCTTCCTTCCTCCCTTCCTTCCTTCTTTTCTTTATCCCATCCTTTCTTCCTTCATTTTCACTTCCCTCTTTGTTTTCTTCTTTCCCTTCTTTAAGCTTCTCTTTTCCTTCCCCTACCCCCTTCTTCCCACACTCCTCTGCCCCCTTCTTTTCTTCATTAGTGCTGTACTAGCTCTTCTTGTTTTTTGTTCCAGAAAGAAACATGAGAGAAATAAAAGGGGAAAAAGAAAGAAAGATGGAATAAAAGAAGGAAAAAAGAGATGACAGAAAAGAAATAAAATGAA